ACAACAACAACAACAACAACAACAACAACAACAACAACAACAACAACAGAATCCTATCAATATTCATAAAGCATAAACTTTATCGTCTCTATTTTTCTATTTATCCAATCAATAAGATTAAGATATTAAAATTGGAACATTGTAGCATGGTTGCGAGTTGCATGTAGTGTGTACAATATATTGTGCATTTTGCACAATAGCAGCATTATTTATTGGACGTGTGCCACAGTCAAGATGTAACAGTATCTTTTTACTGCTTGAATGCTTATTATTGCATGGATAATGGATAAGGAACATTAAAAAAAGAACGGAGATAACAAAATTCTGCTGATATATACGTACAATTCTCAAAGATCGACGTTTCGTTCTTCGTTCACTTCTCGTTGCATTGCAAAGCTTCACGTGATGCAACACTTTTATAGAAATCTTCTTTGCTGCTTCATATCGAAGATGCTGTTTTTTTTTTTTTGACAAAAGTGATACTTCCTAGTTCTATAAAAGATGTTTCCGATGGCCGTATCAGCTATTTTTATCGAGAAAATATTTACAAATCATAAGACATATGAATCGTTGCGGCGAAAGAGTAGCTCTTATTTTTCTGCAAATAATGCTGCAACATGAAGTTTTTTTCACACGGTTTATTTGTTGTAATACAACAAATAAACTATTCATAAAAAACTTTATGTTGCAGTATTATTTGGAGAAAAATAAGAGCTACTCTTTCGCCGCAACGATTCATATTGTCGACGTTTGTACCAAACAATTACAAAAACCTTTTCTGAGAAGTTTTGAGAATCGGAGAGATTGTGAGTACAAACGGATGACAAAATAGCTATTGAGATTTTCTTGAGTAAAGTGACAAGAGACTTTGTATGATTGAACAAAATGCATTGACAAATGTGTGCATACAATGTTGAAAATTGAATTTATTTGATTTTATTATCTCTGTACAAATGAAAGAGCATCTAATAATGTGTCCATTGGATCGATGATTGTTGATATTTAATAGAAAAATCATGTTTGACACGGAAACACGCATTTGACAGCATGGCTTATGCCAAATCTATTTTGTATTCGCATGAAATATATTCTCGATGACAACATTGCGCTGCGTTTATTTGTCTGTGTTAAATATGCCCAGCATTATGTTGACAAACTTTTTCATTCGAGCTGTAACAACAACTAAAAATTAATGCGTTCGTATATTGGCTCATGTTTTCCGGGCGATATAATATTCAAAGTGGTTATGTGTGAAGTGTTTCATTTGCACATGTAATATGCAAGCGAACAGTATATATCACACAGGAAATGTGTGGAAGTGATTCTCCCATCGCGCTTGCCTCTTATAACACACACTGTACATTATAGGATTGAAGCACTTGTTTGTTCGGCTTGAATTACCATTTAAACAAGCCAATTTCGGCGGGTATCGTTTTATATTTTAATGACTTTATCAATCAATCAACCCTTCGAAAAATTGTTCGGTAATGAAAGTCTGATAATGACAAGTGATTTCTATGTGGCAGCAGTCAACAAACACCCAATTTCAACAGTCACATCAAGCACATGCAAATTTCATTTTGTGTAAAAACATTAACGACCGAATACCAACATTTGAAGAAAAAAACAAAACGATTCGTTTCGAAATTGTTTTCACATTAGTCAACACACATTTCAGGACGGGTGGGCAAAATAATGTTGTATGTAAAATGGTTTGTTTAGGCAATAAATGGAATTCTATTCGTTAATTATTTATGTCTATCAGTTGTCGTCGGTTATGAGTCACACATTCTCGGGTGACTGTTGCCAGAAAATATTATTTACACAATATTTTGGTGGTTTTTTTTTCTCTGGCATGTATGCAACATCATTCAATATGCAATCTAATTCTTCTCCCCCAACACATTTTGGCCAACTGGATTACACGAACATTGATTAATGTTGCCTCTTCGCACACCAAGCGAGCGAGAAAAAAAAATGCCTTAATTTAGAAAAAAATTCGTTTTTGTCACGCTGTCGATTATCATCTGCTGACGAGCCACATGGTTGAGAGCGCGGTTGAGAGTTATTTGTGGTGCTCAAAATAAACGATGTAATTTTTCGTTTGTCGAATGATGCAAGCGCGAATTCAATTGCGGCGGTCACTGAGCACTGAATGTTATCAATATTTATATATTTTTTTTCGTTTCATTTATTCACTCGACAAATGGACTCATGAATTTCAAATTTCTATGTTTGATAATGTTTTTTTTTAAAGAAAAATTTATAGCTAGACTAGAAAAGCGTCAAAGCAAAAAATATGAGCTCGGCAGGATATTAAATCATTCGAACAAAAAGATGAGATAAAATGATGCGAAAAAGGGAGTCGTATGATAATTTATGTATTTCGAATGAAACAGCATGAATGCAAAAATACGATTGCGACACCGACGACAATTTTTTTTATTGTCATTTCGATTCGAAGCTATTTTTATATCGAGCGAGTTTTGCAAGCCAGATTGTTTTCCGAGCAAGCGACCAAGAGACTGGCTCAATTGTTTCGCATTGTTCTTGTCTCTTGTCTAGACGACCGATGAATTTTTTTCTCTTCTCTTGTCAAACAATTTGTAATTAAAAGTTGAAAACTCGAACTTTGCAATGATGATGTCGATTCAAAAATACCCGAGGCATTTGCACATCCATTTTAAAGTTATTATTCGGTGTCGGTATATTTTTGTTTCGGAAATATTAGAAAAACATAAAGCTAGTTGCAATGCTTGTTCAATTCAATTTCAACAATGTTTTTTTTATTTGGGTGTGTTCTGTAATTGTGTGTGTGTGAGTGGAAAATCTTTTAACAATTTTATTAATATAGTTTTAAAAAATGTAGTTAATCCAATACTAACCAATTGCTGTTTGTTTTGCGTTTTCTCTACTTTTCGTTTTAGATACAAAATGGCGATGGATGGATTTGGGACTGTATTTGCATCGCATCAATAAAAATTCTAAAGTGTGTGATAACAAACTGATTCAAACTGAAAATATTTTTGTGCACTAATTGTAATTGCTATAGCAACAATACTCATTGTAACATGTATAGTTAATTTTTTCGTTAAAATTTTCATTTTCCGAACATCGTTCCATTTCACTCTCAAGTGACACTGAAGTGCTTGTTGTTATTAAATGAAATTCAACAAAGAAAAACAATGTAACCATCGTTGCATCGTAAATTGCTTAAATATATAGTTCCACAATGAAATTATGTGCAACGTTGTCAATATAAATTAGAAGAGAAAAAGATAATATTAAAAAATTGCGGCGAACTATATTTTTGCCATAGTTTACTTAAACTTCTCTTATTTCACTTTCGTAAGAATAAGACAGATTTTACGTTCGTATGATCGTTTGAGAGAGAAAGAGAGAAATGGGTAGAAAGGACCAAACGAGACTGTGCCGTATTTGACAATAATGTTCAGTAAAAGAGTTTTTGTCGAAAGATAACACAAATTATAAACGAGCGCTCGTTTCGAAGTAAATAAACCGTTCAATTTTCGTCATTCGGTTGTAAAAGTAGAAAATGGAAACAATAACGACTTTATTTTGAGTGGACATAATATCTCTCCGTTGAGAGAGAGAGAGTGAGACAGTTGATAATGGGTTTTCGTGTTGGTTTTCATTTGTCATTTTCTTAACTACCTGACGATCTGAAAGCCATTTTTGCTGAATGGCAGATAGAAAGAAATTAAGTATTATCGCGCTCGTTTACAACAATTCACAGAATTGTTTCATTTTCGCAAACGATGCGTGCATTTATCGACTTTAATGGCGACAATTTTATCTGAACATTACATTTCGAATGTGTATTGACATTTTTAGATGCACTACTATTCTCAGCTGGTTGATTGTTGATGCTGCTTCAAAACACCATCTCAAAAATTATAATTATATGATCACAATTACATTTGAATGTTGCTGCTGATGGAAAAATCATCCATTTTATTATTTAAGATATTATTTATGGCAACATTGTATTTACGGGTGATGGCAAGCGTAAAGCAAATTGTAAAATGCGATGGATATGATCAAATGATATCGTTAAGTGATACGACAACAAAAACAAACATTATTTCTCCGGAGATCCAAACGGTATGGGTCAAAGGGACGCAATATAAATTATCTAGCAATGAATCTTAAGCAATTATTTTGCCAGCGAATTGGTGGTAACAATGTATTGTCAAAGCTTTTTTATGTTCTATAGCTGCTGGCACTCATATCGCAAATGATCAAGCAGTGCAACTGTATTATTGCGCATTTGAAAATTGAACCTAAGTGCAATCTAAAATTAAGGGACATTTCATTTTTTTCGTTTTGTTGTTACCAAACATTAGTGCACTTAACATCAATATGAGAATGAGATGTGTGCTCGATATAAAAACAATGCCATTGTCGCATCGTGCAGATAGTCACTTATACTTTCAAATATGCTTCAAAGTTACAATACGGCTTGGTGTCACACGGAGAGTGCCTGTCGACAAAACAAAACATACAATTCGAATGCGTCATCACTGTGTCAATGCAGGCTTTTTTTTATTTCGAAGTGTGCCGAAGAAACGAGAGATCGTATAGAATCAAATTGGGGCCAGCTATAGTGAGATAAAAGTATATGAGATTTGAATTTATTGAAAGGTGAATCTCAGCAGAACTGTAAGCAACTCACCGTCATATGCTTCATCATTTTATTCTCATCTTTCTCTCATCTTTCTCTCTTTTTCCCCTCTCTCCCTTTCTCTATCTCCTCCTCTCCCTCTCTCCCTCTCGATTGTCTCTACCTTTGTCGCGCAAGTGTATTACTGTAAGTTGCAGTCGAACACGTCAGTGCATGTAAAGTGTTAAATGGCTATTAGAAAAACAACCATGAAAATAAATGCATTCGAAAATGCGATGTAAAATCAACGTTAATTGTTGCTCTCAATCGACACAAGCAAACGATCCGACTGTTGAAATTATGACGATGTTGCGGCAAATTTAGATTTCGAAAGAAAAATAACTATAACAAGCGCCTGTCGTGTCGAAAATGTGTTATTTTCAATTTTCGATTCTCCGTCAACAAACGGTTTTTTTATCATTTCGTCTATGTTTTGTCATTATTGTTACTTTTTTCAAGTAAAAAAATCCACACAAAACCTCGATCGAATTTGATTCTATTTTTGAATTTGTCATATTTACATTTGTTTTTTAAATTTGTGGCACGTCGTACATTTGGATGTAATAATTTGATGGTAATCGTTCGACACGCCACGTGTGTATTTCAATTTTACGATCAGTTTTTTTTATTGTGATTCGGCAATAACACGTAATAGCAATTCGATAGTGCACAAATAAACATTAATAATGATATAAAAATATGATTTATATGTACATATCGTTGAAAATAGTTACAGTTTTTTTTTGTTTTATCAAGGCTTCAGCTATTGTTAGTGTTTTTTGATGAATACATTGTGCAGCATTGTGACTGATTGAAAATTTAAAAAATAGGATATATTTTTTCATTTTTTTCTTTCAATGTTACAGTCAGTGTAATAAAAAACAGGGTTTAACGACATATTTTCGAAGTAACCGAAGAAAAGGAATCGAAGTTCGAATGATAAAAATTGTTTAGTGTTTGCGCTCGCGCATTTTCATAATGGCTGTTTCATTGGAATTGCAATTATAGTGTATATGTGTGTGTGAATACCTGTGACTTGGTGGTGCATAAATGTGAAAAAGGCGGGATAAAAAAAATGATGACTGACACATATCTTTTTTTATTTAAAATAAATAAATAATACAATTAGACATGCCAATAAATAAATGGTGAGTTAACCAATGTGGCCAATAACATGGCTGGTACACAGGCACAGAGACCCACAATCTCTCAGCATGAGGGTACCAGTGCTACACGTCTACGAACCAATCGAACAAATGCTCAACAACAACAACACTCACAAACGACTGGTATCACAACGACAACACAAAGTGGCTCGAATTCACAATTGCAAACGCAGCAACACCCGAACACGATCGGCTGCACTTCGTCCAGTGGAAACGGTTCCACAATTGCAATATCGACTATCTCGACTGCACCAATTCCAAGTCGAGTAAGCATAATCCATATATGTTTTGGTAGATGTTGAAAATAACGTGCAGAATATACTATGCCAACATTTTGATGAGATTTCGCAAAAATAAAAAAAACAATGAATGACAACCAATTTTTTGCGAAATCTCCTTGAAATTCAATTTTTCCTATTGTTTGTGTGTTTGTTTGGTTTTTTTTTTTTTTGGTTTGTTTACTAACATAAAGAATACATTTTCGTACTGCAGCAATTGCTTGAATCATCACAAATGCTTCAACAGCCTCAGCATGTCGAAATTGTACTCAACGATGACAACGACGATGCTGAGCAAATTGCCGCCGAAAAAGATGCCGCCGGTACAAAAAAGGTTCGACATCGGCGTCATAAACGTCCGTTTTACAGACGTGTCTTTAATTACATAAGAAACGCTTGGACTGGAGTTAATTTCTCATCGTCAAACGGTAAATTTACTCACATCTATTTCCTTTCGATTCCATTCTCTAATTTTTTGGTTCTTTCATTTTTGTTTTGCATATTTTCATAATCTAAGCCTTTTTTCTCAACCAATAAAAACAAAAGTTTGTTTGTAGTTTTATAAGTTAATTCGATTTAAACGTGCTAACTAACCAATCGAACGTGCTTTAATAAACAATTTTATTCTCAATTTTTGGAATACTAACTGTAACAGTTTTACGGCGAAAATTTTGAAATACATTTGATGATTCGTGTAAAAAGTTTTCGAAACAAAAATACTAAAAAAATATAGTTCATTTGAAAAAGGTGTTTTGTTTGGGCCGAAAAACGAAAAAAATACAATGTCTTCTTCTCCAAATTGAGTTTTTAAAAACAAAAATCTGCGATGGATGTAACACGTTCCGACATTATGAGTAAAGTAAATATTTTTATTTTTGCAAAACTAAAGCGTACGCTTCAATTAAACAGCTGTACATTTTGTCTGAATGACTGAATTTTCGAAAGTTTTTTTATTTTATTTGCAAAATTCACTCTTTCGGAACGTGAAAAATGTGAATTTGTGGCATTTCTTTCTCACGAAAAATGAATGCATTTACTGCTTACAAAAAAAGGAACTACATTCTTTACCATGTTTTATTTTTATTACTTAATTTTCACAAAATGAACATTGAGCACAGCATAACATGCATTGCATATGGCATCGTGTCTCTCACTCTGCCATACACATAGTCTATGTGTATATTAAAACATATCGCATCAATTTATCACGGTTTAAACTCAACATGTTGTGCTGCTCTCTCCTTGCACAAACCACAAAAGTTATGTCTATATGTTCGAAAAATTGGCCGTTCGTACATATATTGGGTGCGCGAACGAGGTGAATGGTATGCAATTTTAAGCTCGTCATCATTTATTTCGAACGGTTCCGGCAACAAATTTTAATTACACACAGCTTTCAGTTTTATTTGCTTTTCATGAACGCGCATGAAGTCGTACGTGTGCACATTACTAGGGTGTTAATGTTGTGTGCGTGTCGGTGCACACGAACACCGGCACCGAAAACCAATCTGTTTCGTTGTTGATCAACAACGATCTATATTGATCTATGAACCACGCTCAATGTTTTCCTTAAATCTCGACCAAAATGCACCGAGAAAGAAAAAATATTCCAATAAACACGTCTGTTTTTAACGTTGCAATGAATCCCGAACTAAACATCGATTTTAGTAACACATTAGATTGCTTTTGAATTGAACAACAATTTTTGTCAGAGATTTATATTACGTTCAATTTCGAAGCGAAAAACAAACGGGGCGATTTTATTGCAAAATGGTCTCCGATTTTGATAGTGAGTATTTGTGCGCGCCAAAAAAAAATAGCAAATGTAATCAAAATCTACAACCAATTCATTCGATTCCATTCAAAAAAACAAAAACATTCATTTCGACGAAACTGTTATTCATAAGGTTTTATTTTTAACCGTAAATTCAATAAACAGCTTAATGAAAATGTTGAACAAAAAGAATCAATTCAATTGAAATCAACGAAAAAAGCAGCAAGTCCAATTATTACGTCAATATTGAAGTTTAGTGATGCATTTCGCTTCGATGGTTTATATATCGGTGGAACGAAAAATCAAAGAAAACTATTGCGATCGGTTGATTCATGCATTCGTTTGAAGTATACTAATTGCAAATATATTATTTGTGGTATTTGTGTGTTTTATTTCTTTATATCCATGCTATATTTCAACGTACCATATTCGTTTAGAGGAAACTGCATTTAAAATCACCGTAATTCACTCTTTCCGCTCCTTTGGGACTGAATTTAAGCGAATATAAAACTTAATAACATTTTATAACCAGTGTGAGAAACTGTGTCGGTTTTTTGAGACAAGAGAAATTATTCATATGCCAGAGTTACCGTTTTTTATATTTCGTAAAATTCTCGAAATCGAATGTGGATTTTAAAAATGAAAAACTCAGAGAGTAAACCATTTTCATGGAATTTGTAATCAATATTTACTCGTACAATGATTGTTAAAAAAAGCAATTCAATCAAAAAGAAAAAAAAGAACCAAATTCAATTCATTGAATTTTGATGGAATGAAAATGACCTTCCGATCCATTGGATGCTCATGCTCAGCCTTGATGGAAGTCAGTTTTCCATTATGTTATTGTTCTCGTTTCCTTTTTTTTTTTGATAGTAGCAAAAATGAACTATGCGAGAGAAAAAACTTAAAACACAATGTGAATGCTTTTTCTATGAAATTCAGTATGCGTCAGATGAAATTGCAGTATTCTTTCCATGTAGATTGTTGAAAGTTGAAGATACATCAAGAACCAAATGGATTCGGTAACTGAAATATTCATGGAATCGGTCATGCGTGAATTTGCACCGAGAAAAAGAGAGAGAGAAAGAGAAAAAAATCCATAAAGTTTTTCGAGTGCATTTGCATCTTTTCATCTTCCGGCTAGGAGAGAATAATTCCATTTAATGTGTTTTATTGCTGTTACGGTTTTTGCTTAGTAAATCGTAGAATTTGGAATGTGGTCTAACAAGTGGCTACAAACCACATCACATCTGCTTGATTTAACGTGCGCAGCTTCCTTATATTTGCATACAAACAACGAGAACGGAAACCACAAATATATTTTTCGCGGTAAAAATCTTTGGCTTTGATGAAAAATAATTTCCATTGTGGCGATCATGAGAACTGAATTTCTCTCTGTGTTTACAAAGCGCTCAGCTTCACAATGGAAAATAATTTGAAATGTGAACTTATGAGCAAGAAAAATTAGCTCAATTTTATTATTTTTCAAACCGAAAAACCAATGAACTAAATTGTTTTTAAGAGAATTTTACAGATTCTGCGAAAACCAACTTGGTTCTTTGTTTTGAATCAGCTTATTTCATTCTCAATAAGTTCTCCCAAATCTCTTCAGACCTTGAATAATATTAATCGAAATTCAATAACTACAAACCACAAAATGCTTGAAAAATGTAATATATCGATGGTGAAACACATTTTTCCATGTCCATTTTTCATGTCATGCGTCTTGGTCGTCATCTATTCATGGCACACGGTCATGAAATAATAAAGAAAAATTGTTGAAAAATCGAGCAGATGGACGAAGAACTGCACAAAACTTATATCTCATACATATTTCATGACCCGATTATAAATGTCACTCAATACGAAGATATAGTGTTTTGGACTCGAAGGAAATTGATTTTGGGTATACCATCAGCATCTTCTGCCAATGGCCAATGTTAAGTGAAACTGACAAAATTCATAAAAAAAACCAATGGCAACAAAAAGGGGCGAAACGGAGATCAAATCTATAAATCGAAAGAATGAAAAAAAACGTACATGTTTTATCACATGCTTAATGGAGAAGACAGTCGAAAAAAGTGTAAATAAAAATGGGACCGAATTGAAGTGATTTCTTTTCGGTTTTTATCACATGTTGCACGCATTTTCGCGTCATTTGCTGCGCTACTTTCTTCTTCAATTTGAATTGAAACGTTTTTCTTCTCTTTCAACAATTCTGTTCTTTTTTTTAAATGGAGACATTGTTTGGTGAAATAAAATTATCTTAAACTTTGAATATCTCTGCGTTGCTTTCATGCTTTGGTTTTTTTTAAGTTTGAATTTTTAATTCTATTCATTTGCAAGTGCTTGAAAAAGTTTCGACACAATGCTTTCATAACAAATTTCCAGTCGAAAATTCTTCGAATACAAAACCTCAATGTGGGATATAAAACGTGGTAAAAAGTTAAATTCCTACCATTAGAACTTATAAAAAGGTCACAACGGTCATGTAAATAGATAGCATTTTTCGCTGGAACGTTTTAAATCGACAAAGACCAATTTCCGCGTAAAAAAACGCTGAAATGTGTTTATGGTCTCAGCACGTGCGCCATTTTTATAGCTTTTTTATGAATTTTAACGATTGCCATTAAAATATTCGCGTTAAGTAATTGCCATTGCTTCTCTATACGACATCTTCAAACAAACGGGTCGATATTGCCCGTGAGGGGAGGCTGAATTCATCTTCTTTTCCATCTAAATTTTAATTAGATTTGACATTCATAGAAGAATTGTAAATGATAAAAAACGCTTGGATTCATTCAAAGTCGTCAAAGAAATAAGACTTTTCGTACACAATAGACACGATCATTATGTATTAATAAGCGTTCACTGCTCACAGCCAAAGCTCACTTCAATGCACTGAAATAAGGAATAGAATCACTTATTTATGATTCATAATCTGAATTATTCCTACAGTACAAAAAAAAGCAGAGATTGCTCTTTTCAACCATATGGATCTCTCTTTGCATTGCTTCTGAATATTGGTCTGTGGTATTTAAACTTTTGAATGTGAATCATAAATAATTTCGTTGGTTGGTTTGCAGCTCAAGTTTTGTTAGACGGAATTGTTCAACCATTGCAATCTTTTTACGTACAAAATAATAATAATAGAGAAAACAACGAAGAGAGTGAAAAAAGGTCATACATTTTACCAGAGAAAGTTTTTCTAGTTAATATTTTTTGGTAGGTACGAAGGTTTTGGCTTACCACGGTTTGATTTTCATTTGCTCCACATTTCGAGCTTTTTTGCCTCTTTCTGTACAACATCACCGTAAACTTTCATATTGTTATTGAAGGACACAAACTTTGTTGAACTCTGAAACGGACAAATCTTCCGAACACATATCGAATCGGAAATAGAGTTTTCGATATAGAATGTGACTGGATTAATGTTTTAGATTATAACGAAACTGAATCGATTTCACATCAATAGATCCCAATACAAAACTCAATGGCTGCGCCAGCAAATGATACCAACAAATAGATACATAATATAGTGAAGTTGTTGATTGAAAAATTCAATTGGTTGCACAACTTGAACCGTGTCCATTTCATTCATTTGCTGTTGATTAAACCTTACGCTTGACAGTGATATGTATTGGTTTATTTAGT